CATTCCCTTGTTGTTTCCTTTTTTAATTCAATCTAAGATGGTATTCGAGCAGACCCGATTTCTATTTACATACATCTTCATTTCAAATTTCTTTTTTACTTTACAATTATTCCTCTTCTAATGTTACAGTCAATTTTGTTGGATATATGGCATATGGTCTTGGCAGAGAAACATTTTGTATGTATAGTTTTTGACAGTAGGGAAAAGAAGAAAAAACTTATAATAGTGAGAAGATGGTCAGGGACAAAATTATTCTGGAGATAGTAGTTATAGAGAGAGAGGATAACAATTAAAATTCTTGTTTTTGGCAGCTTAGCCAAGTCCAGCAGATATACAATACACACTGTATATTTTCTACATCAAAATGCAATTAATAAATTACCATTTGAGCTTTTTGTTTTGAGGAAGTAGATTTATTGTTGCAAAATAGAATGAATAGAAGAGAGAGATTGTTTCGTTCAGCTGAAAATCATTAGAAGACTCAACTCCATTTTCAATGGATCAAACATACCATAACTTCAGTAGTGGGTTCCTCCCGGTTCGGCCTGGTTCTCCCGAGCTGGTAGCGGTGACGATATGACGAACTGGTTCTGCCCCCCCACCCTTCCCCCACCCCCCATGCCCTCCCATCCACCCCCCGCATTCTTACCTTTTATTTGGCCCCACCCCCAATCTATTGCTGCCTCCTGAGTCCCAGCTGATGGTTAGAGGGAAAAAAACTGTTTAAACTCTTGCCACGGGGCTTCAAAGGGCTGCCCTACAGCTGATCAGTGTTAAAAGAAAACAAATGAGTAGACCAGTGCCTGCAAAAATACATGAATAGATCAGTGCCTGCAAAAATACATTAGTAGATCAGTGCCTGCAAAAATAAATGGGTAGACCAATGCCTGCAAAAAATAAATGGGTAGATCGGTACAGCTCTGCAAGCAGTTAAAAGCCTGGTAGACCAGTACCTCTGCTAAATCCTAAATGTCACATGACCATCAAGCCATGCCCACAAAATAAGCCACGCCCACAGAACCGGTAGTAAAAAAATTTAGAACCCACCCCTGCATAACTTGTTATGAAATGTCACAAATTAGTTACATGTTTATTGAAACGATGTTAGTACCATATCTTCTCTTTGAGATAGTCCGCCCCACTTATCTTTTCCCTTCTCCCTTCCTCTCTCCTCTCCACCCTTCTCCAGCGTCTTTTTCCAGGTTGAAAATTGATGATTTTTCTCTAAAGGTTTTGTTTTTGGCAAGGATTATTTTTAGATGAGAAAGAAAAGAAGATTAGAATACCCTTGATATGAGCTCACTTCCCCATGAGAGTCATGGTGAATTTGCAATCCTTCACTTAAGGGGAAGTCGTTCTGCCTTAAAATGAATGACAGGAACTCCAATTTCAAAGGTCAAGGAGGGAGCTGTTTTATCAAACCTGGAATGTCTGCCTTGCAGTTTTTAAATCTAACTGTGAAGGCAGGAAGTTTGGGTTTTTCTTCATATGAGAAACTCACCCTCCAAGGCTACATCAAATAAGCACAATTAATTGGTTAATTATGTGCCATCGAGTTGTTTTTACTCCTAGTGACCACACAGATAGCTTTTCTCCAGGATGATCTCTCCTAACCTGGTCCTTCAGCATTTGCAGTGATGCACTCATCACCATTTAATTGGGTCCGTCTGCCTTGTTGCTGGTGATGCTCTCCTTCTCTTTTCTCCCAGCTTTCCTGGCACTTAAGCCTTCTTCAGACAGTAGGTTTTTGGATAATGTGCCTGAAGTATGATAATTTGAGCCAGGTCATTTGTATCTTTGAGTAGGTTGATTTGTTTGATGATCCATCAGGGGTGAAATGCTCCCGGTTCAGACCGGATCACCCGATCCGGTAGTGATGGCAGCGGGTGGTTCGGAGAACCGGTAGCAAAAATCCCTGCGCCAGGGGTGAAATGCTCCCGGTTCAGACCGGATCGCCCGATCCGGTAGCGATGGAGGCAGGTGGTTCTGAAAACTGGTAGCAAAAATCCCGGACCCCCGCCAATTGCCCAGCTGAGCCGCACAATCATCAGAGGCTTTTTTTAAAAAAATTTTTAAAAGCATTTTTTCTACAACCTCTTTGGCCGAAAAAATGCTTTTAAAAGTTTTTTTTAAAAAGCCTCTGATGATCGTGCTCAGCTGGGATCGTCAGAGGCTTTTAAAAGCATTTTTTCTACAACCTCTTCTGCCAAAAAATGCTTTTAAAAGTAAAAAAAAAAAGCCTCTGATGATCGCGGCGGCTCAGCTGGGATCGTCAGAGCCTTTTAAAAGCATTTTTTTTACAACCTGTTCGGCTGAAGAGGTTGTAGAAAAAAAAGCTTTTAAAAGTTAAAAAAAAAAAGTTGGCGATGCCCACCCAGTTACATTACCCCCACCAAGCCACGCCCACAGAACCGGTAGTAACAAATTTTACATTTCACCACTGGGATCCATGTCTTTGTTTCCTCGGCTGTCCGTGGAATTTTTAGGCATCTTCTCCAACACTGAAGTTCAAAACTCTTTCTCTCCTACTTCTTCAAATCTTTCACTTCCATAGTGTCATAGGCAACATCATCGCTTCCATGGTTCTGATCTTTGTAGACATATCACATTTGAACATTTTTTCCTAGGTCTTCATGGCTGGTCTATCAAGTGCTAATATGCGATATATTTATTAACTGCATGCTCCTTTAGTGTAGGTGATTGATTCTAAAGCTCAGAAGCAATCTGGATAATTAATAAGCCCAATAGAGGGTTTTGTTTTGTTTTTAAAGCCAGTTTGAATGTTTTGGAGAAAATAGGGTGTTTCCAAGATTTTTCTAAAGCATGCAAAACGAAATTCTGTTGTTGTTTGCACTATAATGCTGGCAAAGGAACAGAATTCTACCTTCATGATACAATCTTATCAGAAGGCAGGTAGGTATATGTGCAGGTGATTAATAAACACATATATTCTGCAATACACATGTACTTCCACAAAGCAGTGTACTTCCCTCTGCAGGATTTCTGCCACCATGTATTTTCCATGTTGTCGTCTTGGACCAAAAGGATGAAGAAAGGGACAGGAAAAGGTGGGGAGGGAGCAGGCAATGCACCCAGCCTTTCCTTCCTAGTTATAAGGCTTTCATCATGAGAAGGAAAAACCCTGGATGATTACATGGCTCAGTCAAGCTGTCTTTTTTTTTGGCTTCAAGAAGAACGGCAGAAAGGCATTATATGTAGTTCTCAACTTACGACCGTAATTCAGCCTGGGAGTTCAGTCCTTATGGTCATAAGTTGTTGCAGTCATAAGTTGAGGCATTACATAACTGAACCCAATTTTTTATATTATTTTGTGGCAGTCGTTAAGTGTATCAATTTTCTCCAATGGGTATTTTTTTGGCCAGAAAAAAACAGTAAATGTCGGAAACCAGGAGAAAATGTTGCAAATCATAGTCATATGACGATAGGATAATGCAAACTATTGTAAATGTGATTACATGACTCCAGGCATGTGTGCAGCTGTCATAACTTCAAAAATAGGTTATAAGTAGCTGTGGGGGTGGAATCTGTCGTAGCTTCCGTCATTAAGCGATCAGTTGTAAATCAAAGATTATCTGTATGATATCTTGGCTTTGGTAACTGGAGTGGCAGGGGGCAAAGTACAGGTTTTGGAAAATGGGATGAGGCAAAAATTCATGCCCGTAGACCAGGGGTGAAATCCAGGAGGTTTTAACAGGTTCTGAGAACCGGTAGCGGAAATTTTGAGTAGTTCAGAGAACTGGCAAATACCACCTCTGGCTGGCCCCAGAATGGGGTGAGAATGGAGATTTTGCAGTATCCTTCCCCTGCCACGCCCACCAAGCCACACCCACAGAACCGGTAGGGAAAAAATTGGATTTCACCCCTACCATAGACCATCACATACTTTGAAGCTCTAGTGGAAATGTTATAAATATGATCTCATTATGTTGTCCCTGTTTGACATTATCAGCCCTAAATATTCGTCCCCTCCTATACTTTTACTCTCTCCAGAAAACTAGGGAGAACTCCTTCTGAAACACTTTCCACACCACTTTTCCTTCTGTGGCCTTGAATACTTTTTGGTTGTCTCGGCTGAGGCTCTTCATCCTGTTTCTCAAGGTCATTTCAACATACCCTAATAGGCAGTTATGGTTTCATCTCCTGACTAAGAGGTTTCCTGGCAGGTCTTCCAAGGAGAGGAGAGTTTTGCCATGTGTTTAATTCTCAACCATAGGAACCACTATGCAGATAACTAGCCAAAGGAAAGATAAGGAAGTTGTATGTTTTGTTGAAGGATCTGGGACAGTGGTGAAATATAAAATTTGTTACTGCGTATTTGTTACTGATGATCACGCAGCTCAGCTGGGCATGGGCAGGGGCGGGGGGCAGGGATTTTTGCTACCAGTTCTCCGATCCACCCGTCACCATCACTACCGGATCACGCGATCCAGTCCGAACCGGGAGCATTTCACCCGATCTGGGATCATCCACTTGTGAGGCAGTGATTTTGACTCTTCTCAGAGTTCTGAGATTGGTAAAAATGAATGTTTATGGGTTATCTTCAAACTGCTTTTGTGGAGTTGGGAAATGGAAGCACTGGTGGAATTGAAGAACTGGTGGAACTGATGGAATATTTGGTAAAGAGCAGCTTGTCTCTATGATTTTAGTGGATCATCACTGAGTTTGGTTTTGATCCAGTTCAAAAATAGAGCAAGTGTTTTGAGAAAAAGCCTTTTGTCTGATTTCTATGCATGACTATAAAATAGAGAAAATCATGGTCTATAATGGGTGGAATTGGACGATTTGGTAGATGGACGATTTGTCATCATACAGCATATTCTTCATTGCACCAAGATGCCAAGATGCCTCATGTGGTCTAGATGGAACTCAAAGATAACAAATAGCATTTTTATATTATAATTTTCTTCTGTTTGGATTCTCTTAGCTGAGATGTCAGTTTATGTTGAAAATAACTATGTATATATGATTTAATTTTTCAGATGGCTACGTCCAAAGAAGCTGTCTAGTGCATGAGTAAGTGCAATAATTTCATAGTAAATCTTTCTCTCTCTCTCTCAGAATGGCCAAAGGATAGTTTAAAAATATTTATATTTGAGAGGAGGGGGTTAGTAAAAAATTAAATAATGCTTCTTCTCCATTCCTAATATATGTAAAGTAACTAAATTCATATTTTCTCTTTCTAAATTTACAGTGATGAAGAAATATATGATGATATTGCAGATGGTAAGATATAAAATATAAATAAAATAGAATTCTAATGATTAAGAATGAAAGCAACTGAAATATTTTTCTATAGGTTTGTTTTTAATTGTAAGGATAGGAAGTTTTTATCCAAAACTGATTTGTTTTTTTTCATTTTTCCCTCTTTCGTAGATTTATATGACAATGATTAGCTCCAGGCCTCATCTTGGCACAGTCCTCATCTTTTCTGATTGGTGGATACAAGAGAGAAAGTTATTATTCAGATTTAGGATTTATGTGTATGTACAAAAGATTTGGTTAAGCTATCCCACCAGTTTCTGGACTGTGAAGCAGGTTTTATCACAGAAGCATGATAACATTACACAAATATGTTCTTGATTTGCAACCATCAGCCAAATCTTCAAATCGGAACGTTATTAAATCAATGCTGGGTGTGGGATAACTTGACAGCTTTCTTTTGCAAATCCCCCAACACAATCCAAAATATTCTATTTAGCATGCTACAGATTAAATCAGCAAATTGCATGTACAATACTCCTTCTCATATTCATACAATGGGCTTTGGAAATATCCCAATGTGCCCACAGACGTGATACCTGTCCTTCATATGTTTTAAGTTATTTTTATCTAGTCATTGTACCACAGAACCGTAGAATTGGAAGCAGCCAACCTGCTATTGAACTTTTTTGTAATATTCAGGCAGAATCCGCCTTCCTATAACTCAGAAATGGGCCACCAATATCTTGCAGTTGTGCCTCTGAAATTCAGTGGGAAAACAGCTGAATTTTAGAAGCAAAGTTTCAACTTGTTTGTTTGGTTGGTTTTTTAAAGATTTGAAATGATTTTAAGACTGGAAATGAAAAGGGTTCATCTCTAGGAAGATTTCTGTTCCCATCTCCATCCTTAAAATCTCCCCAAAAGCTAAAGAATGAACCATGCCTCCTCTAGTAATGTCACATTATTGGATTGACTCCTGTGGATCTTTCAGAAATTGAGATGTGGCTATTCTTCCTTCAAACATTGTTCATCTCCATTTGAAAGTTAAGACAAGTCTTCCATTTTACACTAGGATGATAGAGAGCAGAACCTGGCTTTTTTAAAACTCAACATCCCTTCCAGTATTAGAAGAACAATATCATTTCCCCTCCCAGTTTTCTCACAGTCCCTCAAAACTGAAAGTCCTTTCAAAATGCTTGTTGCCTTTTTATTCACCTAGCTGGATTTTTCTAAATCTTTCTTTAAAAATGACTATCAAAACAGAAAAAAAGCACAAAACTAGTAGTAATTCTCCACCTCACTTTTTTGTTTTAAAGAAAAGAAAATTGCTACCTCAAATAGTAGCAATTTTTTTAAAGGTTTTTTTTTTATCCCTTCTGAATTTCCTGACTTTTCAGATACATTTGGGTTCCTTCTGTATCATGTTAACCTTTTACTTCAGTCCCAAATCTTCAAACAGAATATTTCTGAGGGGGGGAGGGAAGATGCTCTGACCTTTTGATCAATTTAGCTACCCTTTTAAGGGCCTTTTCAGTAGAACAATTCTATTTTTAAGAATAATGAACAATATTCTAAAAAAGTTCACCCCATAAATTTTCCTAAAGGCATTATCATATTGTCCTTGCATTTTATTTCATCTTTCTTAATGCCCCCAAAAATAAAATTGGCTTTTTTGAGAACAGCTGTACAGACCAGCCAAACATGTTTTACAAATAAAGAATATTTGTAGCTCAGGGTTGAAATGAGGGGTCCTTGATGCTCTCTGAGCTTGCTTCTCTTCTTGCAAACGTTTCATTACCCTAACTAGGTAACATTCGCACTGCTAGTAGCACTGAGGATGTTACCTAGTTAGGGTAATGAAACATCTGCAAGAAAACAAACAAGCTCAGAGAGCACCAAGGATCCCTCAAACATATTTTAATGTAGTATTCAGTATATTTTTGATCTTTGAAGTAAGTAAACCATGATTCAGTTATTCCAAAGAAGTGTTCAGTGACTACTGTCTACTTACCTGGCAATAATGTGGGGTACAATGAATTGTACTTCACCTTTGATTTGAGAACTACAAATTCTCTTTCTCAATCTTACTTGGTCAGTTGTATTAGTATATACTGTATGCAGTGGTGGGATTCAAGTAATTTAACAACCGGTTCTGTGCCCTAATGATTTCTTCCAACAACCAGTTTGCCAAACTGCTCAGAAAGTTAACAACCAGTTCTCCTGAAGTGGTGTGAACTGGCTGAATCCCACCACTGATTGTATGTATATAATTCTAATAAATAGTTATCTCCTTCTTCCTCCACCACCACTAAAGGAATTGTATAGTTCTAGGGCACTTTCACACAAGGGATTTGTACCATTTCAGGACCAGCTCCAAGACCTAGCTAGTTTCACACCATCATCTAGTTTGGGAAAATGAGTCAAGGTATTTCTGATTCTGCTGTTTTTCTTGAGATTATTGGCAAAGTGGCACAGTATTCTTCAAATTGCTACATCACTACAAACCTAATAATGATTCTGTTTTTGCATCTATCTCCTGAATTCAAGCCAGTCCTAACTTATTCCTCTACCCCAGAGGTGTCAAACTCGTGACCCACAGGCCAGATGTGTCACGTGCTGGTCACTCCCACCCCCATTTTAGCTAAGGGGGGGAAAGTCACAGTACATCACGATGACAATGTGACGCCACAAGCTTGACATCCCTGCTCTACCATATCCCTGAAGAAGTTCAGCATCCTGTTCCTGGAGCTGGTCTCTTCCTTTATGTTTAAAATATATTTTAGAACTTTTTTCCCCTTGATTCTCCAAGCCCCACTGCTACTGGGAAAAACACCCAACCTCAAAATTGCCAGCATTATGATCATTGCACCCCACATGTTTTTAAAATGTAATATGAGGAATGCCAGTAAAACACATATGGGAAATTTTGGGAAAAGTTCGATGCTTTTGTTTATGTTTTTAATAATCAACATTCCTTCATATAACTGCCCACAATAGCAAATCTCCACAAAATGGAGATAAATATATGTACTGAAAAACACAGATGGGGAGAATATATTTTTTGTATGAAACTGAAGCTCAAAGATTATTTGTTATTCTGCAATCAGACAGCTGAGAAAATGGGATGGTTGTGATGATACCCTTCGTACTCTCTAATACTCTTAGTAAGCTAAAGGGAAAGGCACTAATTGAGTTGTGGTGTATTGATGTGTTCTCTACATTCTAAAGTCAGCAGAAATTAAAATGAAGGTTGGATTCAAAATTATTTCTGAGGGACTTAGAATTGAAAATAGTTGTAGCACAGAAGTGCCTTGTGCATACTGTTTATTTTCTTCCACAAAATCTCTTTTCTTTTTTCTCTCTCTCTTCCTCACACATATTACATTTTATATGCTTTCTGCCTATTTTTCTAAAAAAGACGGCATAACAGCCAGTAGAATCTTAATTCCCTTTAAGAGTGCCATTAGTCTGTACCATTCCTTAGACTTGTATGTAAACATCAAATCTAGAATAAACTTTTAGTGAAGATATTAAGAATGTCACTTTTGAATTCTTAATGATACATTCCTGTGATTTGTTTTCAATTTGTAAATAAGAGTGAGAATTTTGCTTCTCATCACTACTTTTCCTTGTTTTCTCACTCACTTCCTAAAAATAGAAATTCAGAGCCAACAATTTCTGCAAAGAAAAAATAACCCAAGCTTTTCAACCTCATTTTCTTCCTATGTTTGTTTTTTTTAATCATCTAACAGTCTGATTCACTTGTAAGTTGCTTCTTTTTGATCTATTTTAATAACTGTTAAGTTATTAACAGTTATGTTTAGTGCTATTGGCAACATACTTCTTACTTTCTCTGGTTTCTCCTCATTTTCAATTGGACAAGACTTCTACATTTTTTTTCAATGGGCTAATAGAGACACATTTTCTAAGAACAGAAAAGCGGCAGAATTTAGGGACTGAAAGTAACCAAACCTATTTCACATGTCTTGTCAAACCATTCTAGGTGGGCTTTGTTTCAGCAAAAACGTAACGCAGAACAGTTTTTGTTCTTATGGGATTTAAGCTCAAACAAAAGGAATCCCAGAATACTTTTATGTGGGGAGTAAAATAAGGCTGGCATGTGTCAGCTACTCATTTCCCTCAACAGCTCCCAGCACAACAGATTATAAACAATGAAGCTGGCAAGGCAAGAACCAGCGTAGAAAGAAACCTTGTGACCCTACTGAACAAATGCTTCCAAATCTGAGAGTTGTGAAGAAAATAGCCAAAATTACCTAGACTTGCAATGGAGACCTAGAGTTTAAAACAGGTAGCTTTCATTTCTGCGTACTGCAGTGGGCAGATCCTTTGGGCATATACTGTACAGATTCATTCGTATTTGCAATCAAGCCAGTGGTGAAATGTAAATTTTGTTCTATGGGGTGGCTTGGTGGGGTGGAGGTAATATGACTGACTGGGTGTGGCCAACTTTTTTTTTTTACTTGAAAAAAAAACTTTTACTTTTTGTACCTCTTCAGCTGAAGAGGTTGTAGAAAAAATGCTTTTAAAAGCCTCTGATGATCCCAGCTGAACCACGCGATCATTAGAGGCTTTTTTTTTTTTACTTTTAAAAGCATTTTTTCAGCCAAAGAGGTTGTAGAAAAAATGCTTTTAAAAATTAAAAAAAAAGCTTCTGATTGCGCGGCTCAGCTGGGCAATGGGGGGGGCAGGGATTTTTGCTACCGGTTCTCTGAACCACCCGCCTCCATCGCTACCGGATCGGGTGATCCCGTCCGAACCGGGAGCATTTCACCCCTGAATCAAGCCATATCATGTCAAGAGTTTCTGCATTACGCAAGTTCCCAACTGTGGTCTTCATTGTCCAAAGAGCTGAGATTTATTGGTGTGTCTGACATGAAGACTGACATCTCACTCGCCCATCCATCTCAAAATTTCCAGCACCAAACTTCATTTCCTCCACTCTGTTTGCCAATGTCTCCAAACAGTACAACAATACAACCTTCTGGCTTGCAACCTTCCCTAACGTGAACATGTTAGTCCATACACTGAAGAGAACAGCCCCATTTCAGTCTGAACATGACCCATCCCAAACTATTCAGTGTGGTATACCCAATAGTGATTGGTTTCTAATATAAAATATAGCATATATAAATAATTGTCCAAAGACGTACCATAACCCACTCTTTCTCTTTCCATTTCATCTCTCTATTCAACCTTCCTGGTAAAGAGAAATGATTAAGCACTTGGAGAGATTAGATACAGGACTGGTGACTGGATGGCCTTATGTTGTAGAATAAAATATTTCACTGTGAATTTCAGTCTTCTACTGGTAGCCCTTGACTAATAACCATTCATTTAATGACAGCTCAATGGTGCTGAAAAAAAAGGACCAGCAGTCCTTGCTCTTACACCCATTGTACCATCCCCAGTCACATGATCAAAATTTGAGCACTTGGCAACCAGCATATATTTAGGATGGTTGCAGTGTCTGAGGGTGATCACCATTTCTGACCCACCCAGCAGCTTCCAACAAAAATCCATGAGGGAAGCTAGATTTGCTTAGCAACCACGTGATTCACTTAACTGTGGCAAAAGGGTCATAAAATCAGGCATGATTCATTTAAAAACCACCTGGCTTAGCAATGGAAATTCTGGTGTGTATTGTGGTTGTAAGTTAAGGACTACCTGTATACATGAACAAGTCATGTTTCTTGTCTGACATCTTTTTGAAAAGATTAGATAAAAGGGATTTCCATCTACTGTGTTTCCCCGAAAATAAGACCCTGTCTTATATTTTTTTGAAACCTGAAATAAGCGCTTGGCCTTATTGCCATGTGCTCAAAAGCCCGATTGGGCTTATTACCAGGGGATGTCTTATTTTGGGGGAAGCAGGGTAAGGATTCTCTGACAATTACCCTTCTAGCAGTGGCAAAGAATCCTCCTTAAATGGAAGGGTCGTGGTGGGGGAACTATTTTAAGAAAAAAAAGTAGGGAAGTAGTTGCCCATACACCCACAGCCTGACACAATGTTTAGACAGCATTGATTACAGGAGAAAAAAACAGGATACTAGGCTTCAGCTTCTGATCCATTATTATTGATCTTAGGACAATCTTACATAGTTTATGGATCCTGACTCATACAATAGTTCCAGCCTGCATAGCCATTTCCAAGCTAAACAAATATAGATGTGAAAATCTTTAGCATGACAGATAGAATATGACTTCTCTAGAGAATGAGCTTATTTGGTAGTTTTAAAGGCAATTTTTTAAAAAATAGTCAATGTAATTTATGCATTTTTTAATATTTTCTTTTATGTTCAGTTTCTATCCTTGGAACTCTTAATTATAGTAGCATGTTGCTATGGCATCCAGGAGTTTGGGGTTATACGTTATATTATGTTTTTAATCTTTGTAGATTTTGTTCTTTAAAAAAAAATAAAGATTTCAAGTTTTCTATATGGTGGCTTGCTATTTGTCATATTTCTTCATTTCAAATGTCTTCATACTTATTCTTAAATAAGCACCACCAGTATCAAGCATCATGGCCACTAAACAGTTATCAACCTGGTTTTTAGAATAAAGGGTATGATTAGCTTGAAGGAGGTCCAAGGTCTATGTTGCAATTATAGAATAACTTTGTAATCATAATTGTATTTGCTGCAAAGAAAATTGGAAGCTTATTATATTTTTTTCTTTTTGTATTTTTTTCTTTTGGGTTTTTTTTTTTTTTTTGGCTTGGTGTTAGTTTTTAATCTTCTTTTTAAAACTTTAAATACAAATTTATATTTTTTAAAAGGAATGATAACTTGTAA